GATATAGAATGGAAAAATTCTCTGCAGGAATAGCTCCAATTCAGAAGGGGGACAAGTTCAGTAAAATGCAATGTCCTAAGAATGAATTGGAGCGTAAAGAAATGGAAATAATTCCCTATGCATCTGTGGTTGGGAGTTTGAACTATGTTCAGACATGTACTCGGCCCGATATCAGCTTTGATGTTGGAATGTTGGGTCGATATCAAAGTAATCCTGGAATGGACCACTGGAAAGCTGCAAAGAAGGTTCTCAGGTACTTGCAAGGCACCAAAGAGCACATGCTTACATATAGGAGATCTGATCAGCTAGAAGTCATTGGATATTCAGATTCAGACTATGCCGGATGTGTTGATAGCAGAAAATCGACATTTGGCTACTTGTTCCTATTAGCTGAGGGAGCAATATCATGGAAGAGTGGAAAGCAGTCTGTCATTGCTACTTCCACTATGGAGGCTGAATTTGTGGCATGCTTTGAGGCCACAATTCATGCATTATAGCTGCGGAACTTTATCTCAGGGCGTTAAAGTACTTGTCTGTTAAAGAAGAAGTTCAGAAACGGAGAGTGTCATTTGAGCACATAAGGACGGACATGATGGTAGCGGATCCGCTAACTAAAGGTTTACCACCCAAGGCGTTCAATGGCCATGTAGAGCGTATGGGTATTATAGATAAGGCTTTGCTATTTTAGTTATGGGATGCTCATTATGTATTTGACACAAAAATATTCACATAAAGTTATGTTTCTGATTTATTAATTATGTTATCATTAAAGTATATGTATACACTTATGGTTTGTAGATAACATATGACTGGTTTGAGAAATAAGGTTCTTCTCATATTTAAGGATTAAAATTGGAATTGATTTGTGATACATGGAAGGGACTATGTCGTTTAATGACATACAACCGCTATGATTCGATCAATTTTAATTTTAGTAAAGATCAAGTGAACTTGATGAAAAGTGCACATTAAAGTTATTAAACTCTTAAGTCGACACAAAGGTCAAGTGAAAAAATGTAAGAATATTTTATATTCTATGTGACCTATATGTTTATTGGTTTAATATAAAGTTTAAGTTCATATTAATGTTTATAAATTCTAATGTAAAAGACAATACCGTGATGGATCGGTTTTGATTAATGATTTAGAATATGGGTGTATTGATAACCCTCCTACTTTAACTTTATGTCTAATAAATCTCGTTAGTCTCGTGATTATATATATATATGAAAGGTAATAGTATATGATTATATTATCATAAGGTTTAATATCATATATGATGTTATATGCCGGTGCGGTTAACAACGAAAAGTTATGTTGGAGAGTTGTGTTTACACACGTCTTTTTGCTTGATTATTAAAAGGACTCGTGTATAATTCTATCCGTAACAAAAAAAAAAATTTCTTAAAAACACACTACAACATAAAAGAGAAAGTTATTAAAGAAGAGATTGAGAAAGATTTGGGATTTCTTGTCCATCAAGGAAATCATAAAAGAGAAAGTTCAAGGGGAGAACATCAATTAGTGGGATTGCATCCAAGCATGGATCAAGGTTAGTCTTTCTACCTTCTTTAGAAATGTGTTAGGATTGAATTAAGTCAAATCTAAATTAGGTCTTGGTGTTGATTTTATAATTGAAATCATAAAATAATCTAACAGTAGTTTCATCAGAACATTTGCTGTTGATTGTAATGGTCGGGTCAGATATAATGCATTCGTCAAACTGACTAGGTGATGCAGTACATTCTTATCTAGTTGGCAGAATACATTGTTGGTGTTTGATATGTTTTCCAAGTCTTCTAGCGGTTTTCTATTTTGTGTTGGGTTTCTATTTTCTTTTATCCTAAAAGGTATTGTTTTCTCTATAGCAATAATCTCTATAATATTATTTGAGAAGTCGTGCCCAGGTTAACTTTCACGCTGGTTGATTACTATGATACCCCTAATGAATTAAAAAAATATATTTAAATATTATTATTTCATTTTTAAAACTTGCCAAATAATAATATAACATAAAAAGGAAATATTTATAAAGTATTAAAAACAATTTGAAAACGAAAATACATGAATATATAATAATCAATTCCATAAAAAAGAAAAATTCACAAAATATTAATATTTCATTTAAACTATATTTTAAATAATACAAAAATACTTTTCAAGTAGTAAAATACTTTTCAAGTAGTAAAATACTTTTCAAGTAGTAAAATACTTTATTTATATCTATATAATTTTTTATGCAAAATTTTTTTTATATAATGTGGTTTTATAAATAAATAAAATAGTAACATAAATTGATATATGTTTAATTGACAAAATAAAATACTTAGTATTATTGAAAAAGTTTTTAATATATTTAGTTGAATATAATATATTAAAATTACATCAAAAAAAATCTAAATTATTTTTACTTATATAATATAATTTCCTTAAAACAACCACATTTTACTTCATATTTTAAAAGATATTAAGAAAGCTAAAAATAAATTTTAGCAATAAACATCTTTTGATCAAATAACTACAAAATGAATGAGTCGACTAACCAAATTATATCTAAATTCATAGATTTAATTAAAATAAAGATATATAATTTATTAATTTTATAAGAAATTATAATTATCTAATAATAATTTATTTATTTAATAAATTTAAACTATAGGTGACTTTAAGAAAACTGTTACAATTTAGTTTTTTTGTAAAATTTATGTATATGCAGTAGACTTTAAAATATTATCATTATGTTAATTTATGTAATTTAGAATCAAACACTTTAATTTAATTTTTATTTTATCATAAGCATAATATATCTTAAGTTATACATAATCTTACTAAATATACTTACATAACTAAGACAACAACCAACTTAAAACTATAAATTAATTTAAAACTAAAAGTAAATATAAATAAATTATTATAGTATATTTACTTCATAAATATTTTTGAACGTGCTCATATATTAACTCACTGTTACAATTTAGTTCTTTTGTAAAATTTATGTATATGCATGAAATTTTAGAATATTATCATTATATTAATTTATGTAATTTAGAATCGACACTTTAGCTTATTTTTGATTTTATCATTAGCATAATATATCTTAAGTTACACATAATCTTACTAAATATACTTATATATTTAAGACAATAACCAACTTAATATCTTTAGAATAAAAATATTATATTTAAATTAAAAATAGATAAAACAATTTTATAGAATTTATTTCCTATTCTTTTGTATTAGCCAAGTTTAAGATGATGATCTTATTCTTCAAGCAGCTGATATATGTTTCTGTTTTTCTTGCAGCAAAACGAGAATGCAATTGAGAAAGAGGCATAAATTGATATATTTTTAATTGAAAAAAAAATATAATTAGTATATTTATTTGATTATAATATCTTACCGTTACAGCAAAAAAATATAAATTATATTTTACTTATATAATATAATTTCTCAAAAACAATCACATTTTTACTGCATATTTTAAGAGATATTAAAAACAAAACTAAAAATAAATTTAATGGTAAACATCTTCTGATCAGATAACTACAAGTCTTTTACAATATCATAACACTATATAATTTAACGAGGTAGATATATTATATTTTAATAGTTAAAATTATATGTTTTCTTAATAACTCTTTTGATGTTTAATTTTCTGTTTTTATGTTTGTGGAATTTAATATAACCATAATCAAAATACTTAAGAAAATTATAATTCTTTATTCTAAAAATTATTTAAAATAAATTTCAGTTTACCATCCAATCAATCTAAGGCATAAATTATTTAAAATTTATAAAATATTTAATTTTTGTAAATATTGATATGTTTTCATAAGCTTCTGAAAATTTATTATTACTTATGTATGTAATTTAGAATCAGACACTTTAGTTTTTATTTTTTTCGTTCTAAACACAAAAAATATTAAAATACATAATCTTACTAAGATATACTTATATTTCTAAGATAACAACCAACATAAATTTAAATAAAACAATTAATCAAAAGTTTAAGATATTTAGAATAAAAAAGATTATAGTTGAATTCAGAGAAATAGATAGAATCTATATATATATATATATATCCAAATGAAAACTAACTAAATATAATATATCTAAAATTATATATAACTAAAATAATATAATATTATTAATATAATTATACATAAAACTATAAATTAATATAAAAGTTAAAGTAAATATCAATCAACTATTATAATATATTTATTTTATAATATTTATGCCCGTGCATGAGCACGGGAAAATCACCTAGTGTTAAAAGTTATATAAGAAACCATAAAACCTTGTTTTCATATTTTCATTTTTTTTTAAAAAAACAAATAAACGCAAAAAGGGAATTGTAAAATTGTAGTCAAGAGTTTTTCGGGTTAAAATGTGAATTTTCATTACGGTTGTAATTGTACCATGGATTAAACTTGAACCTGGATCAAGGTATGCTCGAAAGAAGTATATGTAGCAAAAGGATAAAAAGACTCGTATGAGTGATTTTTATCAAAGTTGCAGAAATTTATAGTTCAGCTTCATTCTATAGATTATGAGTGATTTCTACCAAAACATAATAACCATCCGATATTATACATATGTCAAAAGATCGACATTACGACTTCAACAAAACAAATGTAAATACAAATTACATTAAGGAGATTCCCAAAATATCTTGCACAAGGTGACTCAGTACAAGAAGGGTAAAAACAGTCTTGCTGCCCAAGGTAAACGTTGTTATGACAGCAAGCAGTCTGGATATGGTGGTCAGACCAAGCTCGTCTTCCACAAGAAGGCTACGACAACGCAGAAGATTGTCTTGAGGCTCCAGTACCAAACATGTAAGCATTTCTCTCAACACTCAATTAAGGTGCAAGCACTTTAAGATTGGTGAACTCAAGAAGGGAAACGGAATGAGAAGAGAAAAGAATAATTAACTTTACTAATATAGATTATACAAATTAATCAATCTAATTAATTATGCGTAAATCGAGTCATAACATTAACATAGCGTAGATGAATAATACACTAATGAAAAAATAAGAAGAATAATAGTAAACTTTACAACGGGGAGAGAGTTATGGTACTTAAACAACTTTGAATTACTTTTGGCAAAAAAAAAAAAGAAACTTTGAATTACTAAGCATTTATAGGAACAGAAGAGGAAGAGGATGTTGAGCTGATGGATGAGACGCAGCCTTTAAGGCGATCAAGAATGGCATTTTTGGTCTTCGTGAGGCTTGCGTGTGACGTCAGAGGCAGTCCTTCTTTGACACACTCGTCGTACTTCTCTAGCACCGATACGATGTTTGAGAAGTCCGGCCGCTTTGACGGGTTCTCCGACCAACATCTCTTGATCAGGTGAGCTAGTGCTGGTTGACAGCTCGCCGGTAAAGGCGGTCTCTCGTTCTGCTCAAATTAGTAGATAAACAATTAAGGTCTCCCCTAACATATTCAATTATGACTTGTACCCCAAGCAAACACAACACACAATCTCAATGTTCACGAAGGACAAAGAGGTTTTGGGCCCTAAGAGCAGGATTATCTCAAAGCTCCAAAAAGGGGTTTCAAAAAAGAATTATTTTTTATTTTGTCCGATTTAAAAAAAAAATGAATTAATTACGTAACGGTCAGTGGGGCCCGCAAACAGTGAAAAAAACCATCATCAAACGCCTCTTATCTAGGCACGCTGAAGCCCTTTTTAACGCTACTGTGGGCCCCCTCCCCCTTACCACGCGGTAAAGCCCGCGATAAGGTCCCGAACATCCCCTAAGGCAAGGCTTTGACCACGTTAAAATTAGCCCCCTTTAGATTTTTACTAGGTGATCCAAAATTTTTAGCCATTAGACCAACTCTTTATTGGTAATCTCAATGTTTACCACAAAATGATAATAAGATTTTCAGAGACTGACCTTTTCAGCGACTGCAAATGCAGCTTGCACGGGAGTCATGCCTTGGAACGGAAGCAAGGCAGTGGTGAGTTCCCATAGAACGATACCAAAGCTATAAACATCAACTTTTCTAGTATAAGGCTTCTCCTTAATCATCTCTGGAGCCATCCATCGATAAGTTCCCATATTACCCTTTGCCTCTCTGCATTGCGTCTCAAGACAAGATGTCCCAAAATCTGCAACTTTAACTCTCATTTCATCATTCAAAAGCAAATTGTTGGACTTTAGGTCTCTGTGGATAACACCCTGTGAGTGAAGATACTCCATTCCTCTTGAGATGTCTAGAGCCAGCCTTAGTACAGTCTCGATCGATAGCGAGTAAGGCTCTTTCTTGTTTAGGTACATTCTGAGGTTTCCTTGGGACATGTACTCTGTTATTATGCAATACACGGGCGGTTTCTTGCACGCCGCAATAAACTATAAATCAAAATAAAGATATAATTAGCAAGATGTGCTCTAAAGACAAGATCTTTTCTCTGTTTATCCTAACCAAGATCTATTTTTTTATAACAAAAACATGTTTGATAGGCTAATGTTTCGTTCGACTTTGTCCAGGACCGGCATGTTTAAAAATTTGGTAAGAAGATAGAGAGTTCAGACCTGGACGATGTTAGGGTGAAAGAGACGAGAGAGCAGAGCAACCTCAGACTTAAACTGCTGTTCGAGCTTAGCCCTTGTCTCGTCCTTGTGTGTAGGGATCCTCACCATCTTCACAGCAACGGCTCTTTGTTTGTAGATCCCTCTATAGATTCTGCTGTGCGCTCCGGAAGCAAACTTGTTACCGATAAAAAGCTGAGAAAGATCTGCGGTCCATTCCTCTCTTTCTCCTTTAGATGCTTCCCATGTCTCCACGTTCTCGGATTCAAGAATCATCGACCAAGACTCCATGCTGTCGAATCTCTTCTTCTCCATGGTCTCATTTTCTGCATACCGGTTGGTTTTTGAGGAAGAAGGGTTAGCGGATAAGGCCGGGAAGGAAGGCTCTGGAGGGAACTTAGATCTTAGAGAGCGTCGGAGACGAAACGGTTTGAAACATGAACCAGACATGTTGAAAAAAAAACAGAGGAAGGTTTTCTTGGATCACAAGGTAGGGGTTTGAGAGCAGAGGATGTAGGGTTTTGTTAAACTAGGGTTTTCCTTCTGAAAGTGTGAATAGATTTCAAAAAGTGCATGAACTGATTCAGAAACATGGATTTGATAGGATCTCCCGAAAATATTGCCGCGGTCTCATTAATTTACTCGGGAAAATTAATTAAATAGATATTTTGTTAAAAAATAAAATAAAACAGAATCAGGGAAAAGAAATGTTCAAGAAGAGGTTTTTAGAAAGTTAAGCCAAGAAAGATTATGTCAAAAGGAGGAGACTTTTACAGGAAGGAAACATAAACAGAGAAGGAAACAAAGGGGTTTCATCTTTCTTTTATTCCTATTAGTTAGAAGAACGAGGAAAGTTTCGGGGAAAATCAACAAAAGAGGGAGAAGACTTTCCAGGAAAAAGGACACGAGAAGATGGGAAAGCACCAGCCACCAGAGAGATTTGGATACAAGTTGAGTTTTGGAAGTTAAAGAAGAAGCCAAGTGAACAAGGAACGGATACAAAGTAAGAGATTTTCAAAGGTTTCTCGTGATTGCTTCGTTCAAAAGTTGGCCTTTTGAGAAAAAGAGTTATAACTTCTCCTGAGAACAAAACAAATCGTGTTCGGTTTGTTTGATGAATGAATGTTAATTAATGCCAACCGGATCATTTTTTTTTTTAATTGGACTGAATAAGCTAGTCACCAGTTTACCGACTTAAATTGTTACATATCTTTCATTATTCAATCGATAATGATATATACAAAACAAAGTTATATTAATTTACAAAAAAAAAACAAAGGTATATTTATTTAATACTAGATATGGGCCCATGTGTTGCACGAATTTTATTTGATGTTTTAATATTTGTAAAATATAAAAATTAATAATTCATTTTATAGTTTTATGATTTTTTCATATATTGTGTGAGATTTATTTTAGAAATTAAGAATTCGTTTTTCGCTAAAAATTCCAATTAGTACTTATATTTTAATAAGCACATATTTTATTTGATGTTTTAATTTTACAAATGACATAAAATAATAAATTTTTTTATATTTTAGAATTATTTTTATGTATATATTGTGTGAGATTTATTTCAGAATCTAGAATTTGTTTACCCACATAAATATTGGTAAATATTTGTATTTTAATAATCATGGCAAATAAGTGAATTATTTTTAACGTTGCACCCAAGGACAAAGAAAATATTCATACCTTAAAATTTAAACCAAATCCAGTTTGAATTAAGAATTAGAGTGAAATTAAAAAAATTGAAAGTTAAATAAGGTCAATCAAGTCAATGACAATATCATACAATTGTCACTTCTTAATTTGTGATGATAAATCTTAAAATAAATAAATTATTTTATTATATATTGTAATAAAGTGAAGAAGACGATCTTAGAGGTAATTAATAAATTCTTCTAATTTCATTTTAAGTATATGATATTTACTATCATATATATCATTTGGAATTTTTATACAATTTTATAAACTTAGTTTAATTTCTTAAATATTAAACTCTACACACTAAATCATAAATTCAGATGTTATGGGGGTTTTTATGTAGTATTAAAAATGGAATTCAAGTTATAGTATTTCAAACAAATTCTTTTGTTTTTCCAGTTTTTGAACGTATGTGTACTTAATTTATAATTATTTTCAAATCACTTGTTTCTCGTTGACCATTTTATTAAATTTGTCTGTTATTAAATAATTTTCTAAATTTATTTTAATGATATATTTTCTTAACAACAATTTAATAAAATAGATTAGAAATACTATATATTAAAACACAGATGTAATAAGATGACAAGGAAACATGATTTGTTTTTTGACTAAACGCATAAAAATCATTTACGTTTATAATAATAATAATCCATTTTTTTATAACCAAACACAAAAATATATCAAACATGTGTTTGTTTTTGTATGACCAAACACATACAAATACCAATATAAAAACCAATCACGATAAAATCTTATTTTTGATTTTTTAGCTAATTAAAGTTTTACTATCATGTTTATCATAAAAATATTTATGTTTTAAATTGCTATTAAATAAATTTTAAAAAGTTTCTTTTTTTCTTACAATTTTGAAAAGAAAACAGTATATTGTATAAACTCTTTTATTTATATCTTGAAAACAAAAATACTATTAAATACTATTTTACATTTTTGTTTAAGATTTTAGAAAATAAAGATTACTATCATACAATCATTTACAATTATCTTCTATTTATAATTAATGAAAATTAGATTACTGTCAGATAATTATTTTAATACTATTAAATATTTTATTAACTACTATTTTAAAATTCGTATCACTACTATTTTTACATCTAGAGTTTTTAATTAAATAATTTAACAATCAGAAATAATCAAAATAGTACATAAAAGTAACAAATGTCATTGACATTAACTTAATCACAACATAAGTAAGTAAGTTGAAATTCAAAAAAAAAACAGCATAACTAATTTTATAGCGTCTATAAAACAAACACACAAAAGCATAATAGACACATTAACTTACGTATAATATCAAAGGATCTATACTACATACAAACAGCTAAGTAAAACTATGGTAATAACTATCCTACGGCAGCATGAAAAATATAACAACAATAAAAATCATCATCAGTTTAATCATAAAAGAACATAAATATTATTTTAAATAATTATTCTACAAATATTATTTGTTTAAGATTTGAAAAAATGGAAGACTACTATTAGACACTCTTTTATAATTTTCTTATGTTCAAGATTTTAGAAAAAGATAATTAGTATCAAATATTTTTTTCAGTTACCATTTCTTCATTATTTTAGAAAAGAAAAATTAGTATCAAATAAATTATCTGAGAAATATTTTTTCTTTAAATTTTGTAAAATAAAATGTTTTAAAAATTGCTATTATTTAATTTTTAAAACTAATTTTATTTGTAAAATTGCTTTTATCATCTTAGTATATATATTTTGTTAATCATGAGTTATTTTAACATATATAAAAATTAAAAGAAAAATTACTATCAAATAATATTTTCTATAGAATTGTAGAAAAGCCAATTGGTAATTAATAATATACTGTAGGGGAATTAGGCCAAGTAACCATTAGAAACAAAAAAAAAGAAAATAACCATAGCAAGGCTTTAGTTATGATATGATTGATTTTTTTCTCTTTATTCCCCATTTTATCCTCAGCGTGCGCGTGGAAACAAATTGTAGCTTTCATTTTCTAAACTGTTGTTGTAATACATTATATTGGGTTACAAACTGGAAAAAAACAAGAGAGATTGAGGAGGTGTCAAAACTTTGGTG